CCCCACCCATAATTTTTCCTCCCCCTTGAATCTCAACCTATTGATTGTGCTTGTAACGACCCTGCTTTTATTCCTTTGAAAGGAATGGCGGAAATACAAAGAGAATGAAAAGGACACAGAGGTATTAATGTCGGCCCTTTCAGCCATGCAGGATAAGACGCAGCACTTAGAGAACAGCCTGAGCGCAGAGACAAGGATCAAATTGGACCTCTTCTCTGCTTTAGGAGATGCCAAAAGACAGCTGGAAATAGCTCAAGGTGAGTGGGACCCCTGGCCTGATTGCTAATAAATCTCAGGGGCCCTTTAGTGCATTGTAAGAACCCAAAGTGCAGGTAGTCCCCATTTAGTGACCACAATTGGGACCAGCAAATCAGCCGTTAAGCGAAGTGATCGCAAAGGGAAATCATGACTGTGCTTACGATCTTCCTTTAGCTTTCCTTGGTTTTTGCAGATGTGCGAAGGTCATAAATGCAAGAATTTTCATCATCATCATAACTGTGCGTATGGTTACTTAACAAGTTAGCCACTAATATGGACTACCTGCAATCCTTGTGGGAGCTTCCAACGCACTTTTGAATATCACCGCATGATATGTGAGGGCATTTCCTTGTGTTTTCAAAGCCATTGCTGAAGTTTTCATTGGGAAAAACTGGCAAGGAAAGATCCCTATGGCCCTTTGGCTCTTGACTGCTGAAAATAACTTTGAAATGAACTCTCAGAGCAATCTTTTCTGACCTGACCATTTCTCTCCCATCTGCTTAAAAGTGTTTTTGCTCTGTTTAACGTTTTTCTGAGCATTTGGCTCAATAATTCACTGGCTAATTAACGTCCATTATAAAAGTTACTATAATCATAAGGGCATCAGTTAAAACTGGGTAAGAGTATGGACAGTTGGTTCAAAAATCGATTCTTTAACTTCCTTTTTTTTAAAAAAGAATTATTAAATTTTCATACTATGAAAAACAAATGAAAATAAAGACAGTAGGGAAATGGGAAAGGAAATAAAGAGGAACAAAGAAGTGTGGGGTAGAGGGGGTGGGAGAAAAAAGTATTAACTTCCAACTTTTTTTAAGTGCAGTAGAATACAAATAGTAAGATACAACCTCAACTTTTTACTTTTACGTACCTAGTACATTAGTCATTTCTATAACAATAGACTTACCTACTCAGAAAATCCCAAAGTCAAAACTTCTTTTTTTCTTTCTCCAGAAATGTCAGGTTTTTTTCTGAAGGGAAATGAGATGGCCATATAAACCTAATCAAATTAAGCAACCCTTGTTATAAAAAAGGAAACAGTATAACCAAAGACAGCTCCCTCCTAACCCATTTCTGTAGCACTTCTTAGTCTCCAACACTACACAGCCAAAACTCAATTGCAGAGTAATAATTGTATAGCAATTTTTCTCCCTCTTATGTTGAAGCAGTTAATTGGGGAAAGGTTTTCTGTTATCATTTTGTTTAAATCAACGTACAGGCCCTAAAAGCAGGAAGAGGGGCAGGGATTCTCAAGAGAAGAGGGTGAAACCTATTCTCCAAAACACTTGCAGTCAGGACAAGAAGCAATGGATGGAAACTAATCAAGGAGAGAAGCAACCTAGAATTAAGGAGAAATTTCCTGACACAAGAATTAGTTCTGTAGTTGTGAATGCTATATAACACTGGACATTTTAAAGAAGAGATTGGACAACCAGTTGCCTGAAATAGTATAGGACTTCCTGCCTGAGCAGGGGTTGGACTAGAAGACCTCCAAGAACCCTTCCCACTCTGTTATTCTGATGTCAGCCCTGCCTATTTGAATCAGCTCAGTAAAAAATAATGGGTTGAGATGGGGGAGAGAGTTCAAGCATGGGTCAGAAAAAGGA